ACTACTACTACAGGGCGGAACTAGAATTTTCACTTAGGGGTTTAAAATATGAATAAGTAAACATACGAACTAGTCGAAGAGGGTTCAACATTTATTATATATACACAAAAAATAATTTTAATCATGTATAAATAGTGAAATTTTCGATCGAAGGGGGTTCATATGACCCACCTAGGCCTAAGCTAGCTCCACCCCTAACAACAGGCACTAACAAGCCTAAGCGAGATACCTTCTAACCCTACTAACCATCTACCCTAATATGTAGCATCCACTCCACTCTATAAATCGTTTCTCAAATTTAAAACTTAAGTAGTTTTTCACGTATAGGTTGTGAGTTTTAGTTCCATGATTTATTTTAGGAGTTTAAACTCCCCAAGTCGTTTATTGAATTTGAATTTCCAATAATTTTTCATTATGATTGTGAAAATTTATACTCCGTGAATCTTTTCCGAATAACTCAAAATACCAACATAATTTCACACTGTAATTGTGAAAAATTAAATCCCATTAATCATTCATAAAGTTTAAACTGATAAAAAAAATGAACTTCATAATTTTTTCACGTAGTTTGAAACTCTTAATCAGAACTCCATTATTTCTCAATTACATTCTAAATGATAGTGGTATGAAACTTGCTCAATTGACCACAAACTTTGTCTTATGGTAGACAACGTAAGTTCTTCCTAGCGATTTTTTTCAACTTAAGATCATTTTTTTAAGTTTTATTAAGCAAGATCAAAAATTCAAAACCGAACACTTTCAAAGACATCACGCATCATTTCCTAGTACCCATTTTCCCAAATCCTCAAATTTAAATGGGCCAAGCCCATATACCCAAGAAAAGGAAAGAGAGAATCCAAGCCCATTATTAACAGTCTGATATTGGGCCATTGGCAAAATCCAGGCCCAAAAGGCTCAAAGTTTATAAAATATCAATTTCAACCCTCCAACAAATCACCCTAAACACAAAAGCCCCTTAAGTTGAACAGTTTTAAGCCTTTTCAGTTCACCACCAATAGAATTTTGTGAGCAAAAGAGAAAAACTTTGTGAAATCTCAATCTCAGCCATGTCTTCGAACAACCCTTCTCAGCTTCTTCCTTCTGGTACTTTCTTTAACTTTTGCCTTCTATTTTTTTTATTTTGTTCTTGTTTTTTTTAGGGATTTGGTGTAATTTTTATGTTTTTTTTGTTAGTTTTATGAGATGGATTTTTGAGTTTATGTGTTTAATTTTGCAGAGTTGATTGATCGTTGCATTGGTTCAAAGATATGGGTGATAATGAAGGGTGATAAGGAGCTTGTTGGTACACTTAGAGGATTTGATGTTTATGTTAACATGGTTCTTGAAGATGTTACTGAATAGTAAGTTTTTTGTCTCTTTACTTTTTATGGTGTGGGGCAGTTCTTTTTGTTGATGATTTTGCTGTTGTTTTTGTTAAAAAATGGAACTTTAGGGTTTTGGAATGCTAGAATTTTGCCATTGTTTTGTCAAAGATTGTGACTTTAGGGTTTTGGAGTGCTAAAGGAATTTAGTAGGTTTTCAATTGTGTGCATTGGATTTGGAGCAGAGATTGATTAAGTAGACCAGTTTTGTGTAGTGATAGGTGCCCGGTTAAATTTGCGGAGTTTAGAATTGCAATCTGTGTACTTATATGAGAATTGGGGTTTAGCGTCGTGTGTAGTTGAAAATGATTCAAGAATCAAGTTGTGAACTTTTGGTGAAGTTCGAATACACCAGTTTGTAATGTGGAATTGGGAAGTCTTGAATGTTGATCACAAATTCATGCCTTTCTGTTAAGTAAGTAATGCACGTTCTTTTCCATGCTCTTATCCTGGTATATCGTAGCAGCCATTGGATTTTATTATGATGGAGCTGGGAATTGGGAACCATCATGTTAATGTTGTAAAGTAATGTATGCTCAACTTTTTGAGAGTTACTCTTTACAATAATTTTGTATGTTAGCTCTGCATAAATGTTAATGCATAAATATTGATGTTACATAGTTTGTGCCATTTGAAAAGCTATCCGTTCTGCCTCCGCCCTCATAACTCTGCTATGAGCTATATAGTTTACATAGTTTGTGCCATTTGAAAAGGTATCCGTCCTGCCCCCGCCCTCATAACTCTGTATGAGCTATAGTTGAATGGACTATTTGTCACTCCACTGTGCAACTATTTTTCAATATTTATTTCACTGCCATTTCTGTATCACATTTTGTATTACTCCTTTGTTTGGCTTTACTTGAGTTGAGGTTCTTTCGGAGACAGCCTCTCTACCTCCACGAGTTAGGGGTAAGGTCTGCGTATACTCTACCCTCCTTAGACCCCACTTTGTGGGATTTCACTGGGTATGTTATTGAGGCAGAGGCCTGATCTGTTGCACTGGGGACTGAAATTAGCTTTGGTATCTCTATTTGAGTGAGGATTTAGTTTTATTTTAGTACAAACTAAGATGATATGAGTCGAAAGTTCTCAGTCTGTCTATTTTAGATGATGATGTTGTTATCTCTCATGGTGAAAGAAGAAGTAACTTATTGAACCTTGAAAATGGATAATATATAGTATTGTTTAGGGAACCTGATTTATGTTTCCCAAGTGCAATTAAAATATTTACTCAGAAGTCTGAGAATGCATTTAAATTGTGGCCCTCTTATATGTCATCTTATCCCCTTGGAGTGGAAAGCCGCTATGCTGTGGAATCACATGGATAAAAGAAACATAATTTTTTTTTGAACTTGTGGATAAAAGAAACATAATTAAGGAGGAGGAGGAGGAGGGAGAGTGAATTCTCACGTTTGTTCTGCCTGTTTTGTCTAGTTTCCCATGGTTTGGAACTGTGGATGGGTAGCTATCGAAGGAAATTTAACGACCAAATAACATGTTATTTGCATATTCATCTAAAAGAGATCATTGTATACAGTAATAAATTCATAAGTTGACACCTAAAGGCTAAAAGCCTAAAACATACTCCTTGGGTACGGTACCTTTATGTTCATAGCAGCTTCGTTGTTTGTCTTTCAACTTTTGATGCTGGCCGATTCTTTCTTTTAAGGAGCACTAAAATATTATTTGATATCGAAATTATTTAAAAAAAAAAAAACTATAATTAGATATTGAAAACGGAGGTTTTAGGATGCATTCATCTGCTTTATTGATGATTCAGTATAAGATGCGGTCTCTCTTTAAGTCTAGTTTATCCGCATAAAAGTTATTATATCTTTTAATGTAACACAGTATGTCTGCCTTTTGTAAAGTTCATGTTATTCCCCATCCCGGGATGTAGACAGGTTTATTTTTTCCCGGTGCTTTTTATCAATCCTCTGCTCAACAAGTTTTCAATTATGTTACAGTGAGATCACTTCTGAAGGGCGGAGGATAACAAAACTTGATCAGATATTGCTCAATGGAAACAACATTGCTATCGTGAGTATAATCTAGCCCCTTCCGAATAAAATATTTCTTCATTTTTCCCCCTCTCCCTTCGAATAACAATATTGCTATCGTGAGTATAATCTTTTCTCCCCTTAATGCAGCTGGTTCCAGGAGGGTCGCCACCTGATGAATGATAACTGCTACGCAACTTGTGCTGTTTAGTGAGACTAGTTGATGAAGATTTCCGCGAGATATATGTATTTTTAGTAATTCTGATGTGTTCAGCTAAGCTCTACTATCAATTGTAGTTGCATTATATTGAAAACGTTTATGGTGATGATACTTGCAATGGTACTTTGGCTATGGTGTTGCCAAGCTGTTAGCTTTAAACTGTGTATGAAGTTTCGATAGAATGGTAAAACTCAAATGGATCATTGGTTACTGTGACGATACATTTTAGTTGTCTTTGTGCCTCGAGGGTGTAATCTAATGGTTAATGAAGTGTGTGCAAGGTTCAAGTTACAACAAAGATGGAAAAACATTAGGTGATTTCGTCTTGTTTGATTATTCTTAATAATAATAAACCAAGCAGGGACGAGTAAGACTCTTGCCTTTGCATATTGTAATTCAAATTAATCAGTTTTTTTTCCCAAACATGACAGACAATTTAAATGATCAGAATCTATGCATATTGCAACTTTCTCTATTACGAAAATCTTAAAAGAAAATACTTTGTTTTAATTAATTTATTTTGTTTTACTTTCTTTTTTAATCCATTTAAAAAATATCTTACTTTTTATTTTTATAAAAAAAGTAACTCTTTAGTTTTAACTTTCTACTGAATATGTTTAAGATTATGAAATTAAAGGACACTTTAGTAAATTCTAATTTCTAGCTATTTTTTAATTTAACACTACAAAATTGAAAAGTCATTTTTTAACTTCTTAAACTTTATTGAGACCTCATTTGATTTTCATAGAGTTTTCGAGATACTTACTATCTTACAAAGTTTTATTATAGCATCTATAATCGCTTCTGGTTTAAGCATATAACCCAACAAAAATATACATATATAAGAATTAACTTATCTGACTCTTTGAACAGTACTACTCCCTCCGTCTCATATTAGTTGACACGCAAATTGAAAAATCATAAATAAGAGGATAGTTTTACCAATTCACCCCTTAAGAACTTCTTTGGAGGTTTCCATACAAGTTTGAACACTTTAAAAAATAATTAATTGCAAGAATAATATGAGAATAAATCAATTAACACTTTTCTTGATTTAGTAAGTATGAGACAATTATTTTTAATATAATGATCAATTAATATCAGATAGAGGGAGTATAAAAATCGGTGCCAAATATTCCACAAAATTAAAAGACATTTTAGTACAAATTATATGTACAAGATTCAATTTTGTTTTAATTTTCTTAAATTTCGCATCAAGTTAAAATTACACACACTATCACGCGATTCAAAGTGAATAAGTAAAAGTGAACGGAGCGGATACCAAGTAAGGCATGCTAAGTTATTCCCGCGCAGAAACAAAAAGACTTTCACTTTGTATTGGGATTTGGGAGTAGAAGCTTAGCTGAGAATTTTCTTTGGAAGTAAAAGAAAAAAAAAATGCAAAACAAGAGAAGGAAATTAGATATCCCAATTGTGATCATAGATATCAGTAGTAGTAGTGAAGAAGAAGAAGATGATGATGATGATGATGATGTTGATTATATTGATAATTATAACACTTCTAGTGATGATGATGATGATGATGATAGTTGTGATAATACGAATTCGAAGAGGAAGAAAATGAGTTTTTCTAATAGTAGGAAGAAAGGGGAGTCCAAAATGTGTCATCAGTGTCAGAGGTCTGATAAAGAAAGAGTTGTGTGTTGTTCTAAATGTAAAGTAAAAAGATATTGTCTTGCTTGTATCAATAGATGGTAAGTACTATATTAGAGGTGGATTCAAGATTTAAACTTCGGGTTTTGACTTGTTTATCTTCCTTATCATGAGGGGACTTGGTTGAGGTTTTTTTTTAGCTAAAGATTGAAACTTTTGATGATGTAGGCATATTAATCCTATTTTTTGGCTTCTGTTCAATTTATGTGATGTAGTTTGACTTGACCTGGAGTTTAAGAAAGAAATGCTTTTGAAATATGTGGTTTAAATTATGTTTGTGTGACTAATGAGCCTTTTAAAGTTCATGAATATAGAAATATGTTGTTCTTTTTTAGACGGAGTAAAAATGAAAGTGAGTAGTATAAATTGGGATAAACTGAATATTTGATTATCATTTTGTGAGAGTTTTTGAAGAAATTTTAGGATGATCTTTTGTAAATGGCAATGGGGTAGAGAGGAAGGGAAAAGTTGTGGGGGGAAAAGCTAAAATGGGGCAGGGTGGGGCGGGGCGGGGTGGGCTAAGACTGTAGTAAGTTAAGTTGTGCCCTTCCCCGTCCTGCTTCACCCTGCCCTAGTTACAACTTACATACCTATTTTTTGCTAAGTACTTGTGCATTTTTTGTTTTGGTCATTGAGGTTGATGCTTGAAGACTTGGATCTTTGACAATCATATGATATAATAGTGTTTATATGAACTCTTTGATGATTTTATAGCATTGATGAATTAGCATATTTATATGATCAATTTCAATCAAATGTATACATTATATATGTAACCATTGCCCCGATCACTCCGGCTTCATCTGTTAGTCTGTAATCAGTTTCTGATGTTCATCATTTCTGTTTTGTATTTGTCCTCTTTTGTAGGTACCCTGGGATGCTAGAGGAGGACTTTTTAAAAGCTTGCCCTGTATGTCGTAACTTTTGCAACTGCATAGCATGTTTGCGGTTAGATGGGACAGCAAAAGTAGGATTCTTTCAGTTCTTCTCTTTGTCTAATGCTCTAAAAACATTTATTTATTGCAAATTGAGTGGTTCTCTTGTTTGCAATACAGCATTTGATGAATGTAGAAGTGAAGTTCAGTGATGAAGAAAAACTCGAGTGCTCTAAGCACATTGTACGAGCACTTTTGCCTGCTTTGGAACAACTTAATACCGAGCAAATGATTGAAAAGCAAATTGAGTATCAGATTCAAGGTATTATAAATCTCTCAATCTGATAAGAGGTGTTGTCACTTAGTAGGTTGTCATATACTGTTGGTAATACGGATTATTAATGTGAGTGACTCGATGTGATTTTGCAAATACTGGCAGCATTTGATGAAGCCAAACATCTCTAAGTTGATATACATTTAAGAATGCTATGAGTTTTGGGGGTGTAATTTTTCAAGAAAAAGATTGTTTCATTGAATACCATTTTTTCTTTCTTTGGCAGCATTGCCAGATTCGGAGGTTAAAATACCCAAAGCAAAATACGAGAAGGACGAGTGTATTTATTGGTGAGCATTCATATTTACTTTAGATTGTAATTACTCCCTTTGTCCATAAATAAGTGTCGCTTTAACTCATTTCACGCCCGTTAAGAAAAACAATAAATGTAAGGTATACTTTACTAAGTTACCCCTATTTATTAATGTGTTTGAGAATCGAGCACTATTAAGAAATAGTTCTTTAATATAAGGGTATATTTGAAAACAATTAATATTTTTGTCTTGAATTCCTTAAGCGACACTTATTTTGGGACAATATTTTTTGCTAAAGCTACACTTATTTTGGGACGGAGGGAGTAGTTGATAAATTCACTGAATATTGAATGTCATCCGTTATTTGCAGCAACTATTGCAGTGCATTTATTGTTGATTTTCACCGGAGGTGTTCTAGTTGTTCCTATGAACTTTGCCTTACTTGTTGCAAAGAATTAAGGAATGACAACTTGCAAGCAGATGCATCTGAAGTGAGGATGCAATATATTTACAATGGACTGGATTATTTGCATGGTAAAGGTTGTAGCGTAACTTCAGTCAAGAATGGAACTTGTGGTGGAACGACTAAAGTTAAAATAAGGGATCAAACTAAGGTGGCGATGACATCTAAATGGAAATCCGTGGAAAATGGTGCCATTCCTTGCCCACCCAAAGATATGGGAGGCTGTAGTAACGGAACATTAAATTTGAGATGTATATTTTCTGAGAATTGGATATCGCAGCTGTTACTCAAAGCTAAAGAAATATCTCAAAAATGTAAAGTGAAGGAAATGTATAATGATTCAGAACTGCACTACTCCTGTTCAAAATCTAAGGGTGAAAATGGTACTTATGGTGGCAAGCTACGTAAGGCAGCTGCTCGGGAAAGTTCTGATGATAACTATGTATTCTGTCCAGCAGCTGTGGATACTCGGCGTGCAAATTTGAGGCATTTTCGTCTATATTTAGCTAAGGGTGAACCAGTTGTTGTAACTAACGTCCATGATAATGCGTTGGGATTGAGCTGGGAACCTATGGTAATGTGGCGTGCTTGTCGACAAACCAAGAAGGCTACTGATGTTTTAAATTGCTTAAATTGGTGTAAGGTTTGTGTAAACATGCTTTGTAAAATCAGAAACAATTGAGGTGTAGTATATTATATTTTCCATGTTCTTACCTTAGTTTACTTTATCCTGGATACCATGCAGTTGGAAAAGAACATACACCAGTTTTTTATAGGATACACGGAGGGTCGCTTTGACAGTTACGGGTGGCCTCAACTCTTAAAGTTGAATGACTGGCCGCCATCAGGTCTATTTGATGAGCGGCTGCCGCGTCATGGTGCTGAATTTTCAAGTTGTTTACCTTTTATGGAATATACACATCCTCAATATGGCTATCTCAATCTTGCTCTAAGACTTCCTGATAACTTCGTGAAGCCAGATTTGGGGCCTAAGGCATACATTGCTTATGGTTTTCCTAAGGAGCTTGGACGTGGAGACTCAGTCACCAAACTACACTATGTTATGACTGATACGGTACGTTGGGCTCCTTCAAAATGTAGTGTAACAATTTGCTGGTACTGTAGAGATCTAAGTACTCAGAAATATTAGCATGCACTCTAACATTATGTATATTTTAGGTCAACATGTTGATGCACACTCAAGCAGTGGTCCCAACAGTTGAACAGCTCTCGGCCATAGAGAAGTTGAAACAGATTCACAAAGAGCAAGATCAGAGGGAATTTGTAGCTGATGCTAACAGGATGCATGAGAGCATTAAGGATTACATCCCTAATGTAAACGAAAAATCTGTGCTGAAAGGGATGAACTTTTCTCAGAAGAAACAGAACTGTGATGGTTTGAAAATTGAGAATAGTAGTAAATCTGAGAATAAGAAGTATTACCTGCGAAGTGTAAAAGCTGATTGTGAAACAAAGAAAGACAGAGAGGATAGTAGTTCTCGTTTTGGGCAGGATAGGTCTGAAGGATTTGAAGAAGCAGATGGTGGTGCTCTATGGGATGTCTTTAGGAGGCAAGATGTTCCTAAATTGGAGGAATATCTCAGGAAACACTTCAGGGAATTTAGGCACATATATGGCTCACCGTTGCCGCAGGTAAAGATAAGCTGCAACTTTCATTTACTTCTCCATTCTGAAATTTCTAAAGTAAATTTATCTTTATCCATGTTTTTCCTCCCCCATGACTATAAGTGCACGTCGTCATTTGTTTCTGTCTATTGACTTGTCACATCTCCATAGGATTAGTTAATTTTTCAGTCTCTATTTATTATAATCGTCTTGTACTTAAAAAAAGGTAGTTAAAGTTAAAGCTGTCTATTACATGAAAATGCTAATTAGTGACTCAAGTTTTACTAGCAATCATTTGTTAGTATAGTGAACCATTAACTGAGTGTTTGATATTTTGCTATGTGGTGTGGCCTGATGTTTATCGTCGTGGTGATTGCCATTGTAATTGCTATAATGGTGTGATGTTAGTTATTTATAATTCTCATAATAATCACTTTGATACTTTAGTGTGAAGACATGTAATGTACGTTATAGTACTTCGGCTCTGTTGATGGATGTTAGTTATGGTTTCTTATCTTTTATGGTTCAAAAATTACATCTCTTAGCTAGCAAAAGTTACAATGGAAATTTGATACTTCATTAAACTCCAAAACTATATTGATTAAACTCCAAAATATTATTTCCATTACAGGTTGTTCATCCCATTCTTGATGAAACTTTCTACTTGAGCACAGAGCATAAAAGGAGGCTAAAGGAAGAATATGGTCATCTTACTCTCTTATTCATTGCCATTTCCTTGCATGTCTTGTGTAAAAAGAAGTTTCGGAGTCTGCATCTTGCGTTCACTATGCTTTCATTTCCTTTTGCAGGAATTGAACCATGGACATTTGTTCAAAAATTAGGTGAAGCTGTTTTTGTTCCTGCTGGATGCCCTCATCAAGTTAGAAATTTAAAGGTATGGAGTTAGTTCACCTCTTTATCCCACGTCATCCTATCGCCCATTTTTTATAGCAAGTTTTTGTAGTATTAGGAAAGTCCAGCAGCGCATAAAACCGTCATTTTCTTTTCTTTTCCAGCAGTTTCTGCTTTTAGATCCCTGTCATAGTCCTTAATATTGCTTTAGAAAGTATCATATATCCTATACAGCTTCTTGAATGGTACCTTTCGTAGTTCCTACTGCTTTATGCAGAGAGAAAAAAAGATAATAAACAAAATTGAGTAATTTCAACTCGAGAGTCTACAAAAATAGATGCTACTAAGGTGTGGAAGCAAGCTATGAATGTGTAAACGTCGATACATTATCATGCATATCTTTGTTATCAGAAGTCCTTTTCATCAGTTCTAAGGACAGATGTAAAAATCAAGATTCTGGCTGAAATGAAGTCCGAAATTTTTTCATCAAATGTTGAAATAGATAACTATGTCTTCATTTTCTCAAAGTACACATCATTTCGTAGATGATTTACAATAGTAGAGTACTTATATAAGATCAGCTCGGTGACTTCTGGCGTTTTCATCTTTTACAGTCCTGTATCAATGTCGCTGTTGATTTTATTTCTCCTGAAAATGTGAATGAGAGCATCCGTTTGACTGAGGAGCTTCGCAAGCTTCCCAGAAATCATGAAGCTAGGGAAGACAAGTTGGGGGTATATGACTTCTTTTTTCACTACATTGATGTTATAATTGCAATATTAGTTTCTCGCTGAAATGAGTGTTTGCATGTGTAAAGATTACTAAATTCTGTGTGTGCCACTTCAGGTAAAGAAAATAATTGTTCATGCAATGAGCCAAGCGGTGAATCAATTGGAGAAGACACTATTGTAAGATTGCTGCTCCTTGTTTTCACAAAGTTATGCTCTTATTTGCTTTTTGTTTAACATGAAATTTATATATTTCGTTGAAAAAATGAACTTATATAACCAACTACTCCATCTGTCCCAATCTATGCGGCAAATCCTTTTTTGTTTGTCCCAAAAAGAATGACACCATTCTATATTCAGAGATAATTTGACTGTAAACTTCTCATTTTACTAATGAGTTTCAAAAGTCTTCTTTCTTAAACTACGTGTCCGTTCAAACAATGTCATTGCTTCTAGTGCTCTTCAGAATGCTAAATACCCTTGTTTATGTACACTTCATGTTTCTTTCTCTTCTTCTTTTCCTTTCGTGGATGCAAGTAGGAACTCTGAAGCAGGCATCAGTACAGGATTATCCTTATCAAGTTCGATCAGCAGAAGTATAAATGTGAGCCACAGTCCCAACAACTTTCATTTCCAAGTCGAACTTCATTATTTGCCTTTTTTTTTTCTTCATTTCCTCCTTTCTAGTCTATGCCAGGACCAAGTACACCAAAATCTTCTTCCTCCATTTCGGAAGATCTATCTAGTAGCAAGACTGCCAAAAGAGAAGAATATGTTGTTCCAACTGAGAATGAGAAACCAAGAACTGCTGAAGTTAATTTACGTTCTCCGCTTCCAGTTCTTGATCATCTGTCTTCAGCCAACAAGGTTTACTCATATGATTACTGATATCTCAACAGTCCCAATAGCTTTCATTTTTAAGTCAAACTTCATTATTTGGCTTTTTTTTTTTTTTCTTTTCATTTCCTCTTTTCTAGGCTATTCCAGGACCAAGTATGCCAAAATCTTCCTCCGTTTCGGAAGATCTATCTAGTAGCAAGACTACCAGAAGAGAAGAATATGTTGCTCCAAGTGAGAATGAGATACCAAGAACTGCTGAAGTTAATCGATGTTCTCCGCATCCAGTTCTTGATCACCTGTCTTCAGCAAACAAGGTTTACTCAATTGATTACTGATATCTCAATAGTCCCAATAGCTTTCATTTTTAAGTCAAACTTCATCACTTGTTTTTTTTTTTTTCATTTCCTCTTTTCTAGGCTATTCCAGGACCAAGTATGCCAAAATCTTCCTCCGTTTCGGAAGATCTATCTAGTAGCAAGACTACCAGAAGAGAAGAATATGTTGCTCCAAGTGAGAATGAGATACCAAGAACTGCTGAAGTTAATCGATGTTCTCCGCATCCAGTTCTTGATCACCTGTCTTCAGCAAACAAGGTTTACTCAATTGATTACTGATATCTCAATAGTCCCAATAGCTTTCATTTTTAAGTCAAACTTCATCACTTGTTTTTTTTTTTTTCATTTCCTCTTTTCTAGGCTATTCCAGGACCAAGTATGCCAAAATCTTCCTCCGTTTCGGAAGATCTATCTAGTAGCAAGACTACCAGAAGAGAAGAATATGTTGCTCCAAGTGAGAATGAGATACCAAGAACTGCTGAAGTTAATCGATGTTCTCCGCATCCAGTTCTTGATCACCTGTCTTCAGCAAACAAGGTTTACTCAATTGATTACTGATATCTCAATAGTCCCAATAGCTTTCATTTTTAAGTCAAACTTCATCACTTGTTTTTTTTTTTTTCATTTCCTCTTTTCTAGGCTATTCCAGGACCAAGTATGCCAAAATCTTCCTCCGTTTCGGAAGATCTATCTAGTAGCAAGACTACCAGAAGAGAAGAATATGTTGCTCCAAGTGAGAATGAGATACCAAGAACTGCTGAAGTTAATCGATGTTCTCCGCATCCAGTTCTTGATCACCTGTCTTCAGCAAACAAGGTTTACTCAATTGATTACTGATATCTCAATAGTCCCAATAGCTTTCATTTTTAAGTCAAACTTCATCACTTGTTTTTTTTTTTTTCATTTCCTCTTTTCTAGGCTATTCCAGGACCAAGTATGCCAAAATCTTCCTCCGTTTCGGAAGATCTATCTAGTAGCAAGACTACCAGAAGAGAAGAATATGTTGCTCCAAGTGAGAATGAGATACCAAGAACTGCTGAAGTTAATCGATGTTCTCCGCATCCAGTTCTTGATCACCTGTCTTCAGCAAACAAGGTTTACTCAATTGATTACTGATATCTCAATAGTCCCAATAGCTTTCATTTTTAAGTCAAACTTCATCACTTGTTTTTTTTTTTTTCATTTCCTCTTTTCTAGGCTATTCCAGGACCAAGTATGCCAAAATCTTCCTCCGTTTCGGAAGATCTATCTAGTAGCAAGACTACCAGAAGAGAAGAATATGTTGCTCCAAGTGAGAATGAGATACCAAGAACTGCTGAAGTTAATCGATGTTCTCCGCATCCAGTTCTTGATCACCTGTCTTCAGCAAACAAGGTTTACTCAATTGATTACTGATATCTCAATAGTCCCAATAGCTTTCATTTTTAAGTCAAACTTCATCACTTGTTTTTTTTTTTTTCATTTCCTCTTTTCTAGGCTATGCCAGGACCAAGTATGCCAAAATCTTCCTCCGTTTCGGAAGATCTATGTAGTAGCAAGACTGCCAAAATTGAAGAATATGTTGCCCCAAGTGAGGATGAGAAACCAAGAACTACTGAAGTTAATCTACATTCTCCGCTTCCAGTTCTTTCAGCAAACAAGGTTTACTCAATTAACAACTGATATCTTTTCTGGTTTAGTTTTTCCTTGTTATTGATTTATGTAAAAGTATATGCATTATATTGTCAGGCTCAAGAAAGCACATTGGTTCCTAGTCAAGAGTTGAAGCAGTTCATCAATATAGAGGACGTTGAATCAACTTTCCACACGGTTCAGTCATTCTTGAAGTCTTTACCAGAGCAGTATCCCAGCCAACAATCCGGCCTCCAGAGCAATAGTACTTCTTCAGCCCAAACACTTGCAAAATTAATATTTGAATGTTCAATCAGACTACCTTTGGAAGCATTGGCTCATGACCCGATAAATGAAAAAGAAATGCATGGTGCAATTGCTGCTTTAAATGAAAATCCCTCATCATTGTTTAGCGATGAACAAGCCAAGCAATTGGTAAAACTCAAGTATGAATTCCCTGTCATGGTTAAGAAATGGAGGGACTTGGCACGAGCTGAATTAAGTTACCAGGAATTCTTGACCAACTTCGAAGAGGACAGGAAAAAACTGGATAACTGGATGAGATCAGAAGCAACGTTGAAGTCGGAGTATGATAAAAAGGAGGAACAAGCTAGAGAGTTGGAAGCATTACTTCAAGATATAAGAACCAGGCAGAAAGAAATCATGGATGAACGACAAGAAGGGTCTCAAGAAGCTCAAAAACTCATGTTGTTAGCTCAAGAAAAAGCTGGCAAGATAGAAAGCACTAGCAATGAATTGGTAACAACAAAGATGCAGATGGATGGCTTAAGGAAAAATTGGTCCAACTTTCAGTCTTCATTCCCGTAGATGTTACATTCCGGTCTCTCCTTCTGTTGTCAGAAACCACAACTGTTTTAACTTTCTTGACGTTATGGTTCCTTGGACTAGATACATTTTGGAAGGTGGAGTAATAGTTCATCTGTACGTATAGATTGTTGGAGGTTTTAGGCTGCTTTTGCCTGGTATGTTGATGTTTTTGTAGAATTTTTTTTGTTGAACTCTAGTTTAGCTCTAGCAGGTGAGAGTTACTCTTTATAACAACTTTACATGTTAGCTATGCATAAATGCTAATTCCTAGATATTTATGGTTCACCACCTGATGAGTGATAATTGCTATGCAACTTTTGATGTTTACTAACACTAGTTCTTGAAGATATCTGCGAGAAATTGGAAAATCGAGCAATGCTTTAAATATGTGTTTTCACTTTTCAGTAATTCTGCTGTACGAGCTTACAATGAATCGGCATTGGCTAGGTTTTAGTAAATTATGTGTGTGTTTCAGCTAGGCTCTACTATTAATCGTAGTTGCATTATATTGAAAACATTATGCTAATAATGCAATGGTACTTTGACACTAGTGTTGTTAGCTTTAAACTGAGTATGTAGTTTTTACAGAATGGTAAAATTAATTGGATCTTAGATTTTTCTTCCACTTCAACTTGAGATCGAAGCAAAGAAAATGGAGCAGGAACAAGAGCTTGCCCTCTCCTGCAAAGAAGATTCTGCAACAAAATCAATTGAATAGACAGATAAGTCCGATAGCAAGTAAGTACAACTAGTTTAGGGGTGTTGAATGAAGCTAAGGACATGCATTTTATGCCTCTCTTTATTCTGATATATTTGAATTAATTTTATTTCTTTTTATAGTAGCGCCACATAAAGAAATAAATTAAAATAATTTAAAAGATATCACCTTAACTTTTAATGTTAATTAATTATGTATTTAATGTAGTCATAAAATGTTCAATTCCTCACATGTGTTCAAGAGAGTGAGCACGTTCTTTGTGCCACCTCAGCACGCTCTTTGTGTCACGTCAGCATCTGTGAGTGTATTTATTTATAACATTTTTCAGACAAAACCTAAGATTGCGGCTAGTCAGACAGAAAAGAGTAGAAGTGCAGCTGAAAATTTTTGTTGAAAGAGAAAATGGAAAACAAGGAAAAAGAATCATCTGATATGGATATCAGCAATGGTGATGAAGAAAAAATTGATAATTCAATGGAGAAGACGAATAAGAAGAGGAAGAAAATGAATTTTTCTAGTGATGCGGAAAACAACAGGAAGAGAGGGAAGTCTAAAATGTGTCATCAGTGTAAAAAGAGTGACAAAGACAAACTTGTGTGTTGTTCCAACTGTACAGATAAAACATTTTGCCTTCCTTGCATCAAACAACGGTAAGAATTTAGACGCCGATCCAGGATTTAAACTTGAGATTTTTTTTGTAAAGATAAAACCTTTTGCCTTCCTTGAATCAATCGACGGTTAGAATTTAGATGCCGATCTAGGATTTAAACTTGAGATGTTAATCTTCCTCATCACGAGGGGACTTGATTGAGATTTTTTTTTTGTAAAGATAATACATTTTGCCTTCCTTGA